CCGCAGGGCTTGGCAGACGTTTCCTTCAAAGGGCTGGATGAGTAACTACCTGAGGCTCTGTGAGCCATACCATCTCCCCCACACCGGACCAGCTTTGCCCCTGTAGCATGAAAGCAGCCATAAGTCATACGTAAACGGATGGGCCTGGTTCTACTCCAGGATCAGGCTCACCCCTGCTCTGCTCTTGTCTCTTTGTTCCTGGATCCTGCGGTTCAGGTCTCCCTTAGAAGCCGTATGCTCAGAAATCACAGGCTCAATTTGTCTGAGTCACTGAAGGACTGTAAGGAGCAGAGGGCCCTAATCCCTCCCCCTGCCCCCATTCTGCCTTTTATGTGAGTAAAAAAAAAACTAGAGTGTGTTTAGCAAATGAAATTTGGGGGTTTCGGGCACCTGGGTGGCTCAGCCGGTTGAGCGGCTGCCTTCGGCTCAGGTCATGATCCCAGGGTCCTGGGATCGAGTCCCGCATCGGGCTCCCCGCTCTGCGGGGAGCCTGCTTCTCCCTCTGACCCTCCCCCCCTCTCATGTGCTCTCTCTCTCTCATTCTCTCTGTCTCAAATAAATAAAATCTTAAAAAAATAAAATAAAATATTAAAAAAAAAACCATGGACATGGTTCTAAGTTAGAATTATGCAGAAATTTATATTCATAGAAGTGTCATCCAACATTTCTGCCCCTTCCATTTTGCTCTCATCTATTTCCTGTAGGAAACTAATCTCCTTAGTTTCTGAGCTATCCTTTCTAAGTTTCTTTTTGCAGAATTAACCAGATGGATGTCTATTTTCTTACTATTTCTGTTTCTTTTTCTTTTTTAATTTTTTTTTTTAGGATTTCATTTATTTATCTGACAGAGAGAGAGACAGCGAGAGAGGGAACACAGCAGGGGGAGTGGGAGAGGGAGAAGCAGGCCTCCCGCCGAGCAGGGAGCCCAACGTGGGGCTCGATCCCAGGACCCTGGGATCATGACCTGAGCCGAAGGCAGACGCTTAACAACTGAGCCACCCAGGCGCCCACTCTATTTCTTTTTCTTACAGAAAAGGTAGCACATACATTCTTTTCTACTTTGCTTTTTATTCACTAAACAATCCATCTGGAAATTATTTTATTTATCTGTTTATTTTTAAAGATTTCATTCTCAAGTAATCTCTACACCGAACATGGGGCTCAAACTCATGACCCCAAGATCAGGAGTCACGTGCTTTTCCGACTGAGCTGGCCCAGCGCCCCTGGAAATCATTTTATATCAGTTCGTAGAGATCCCCCTCTCCCTGGGTGGGCATTCGATAGTCCTAGTCCACGAATTGCCTTCATACAGGGATTCAGCATATTTCCAATATTTTGTAATTACCACCAATGCCGTAATTAGTAATCTGCCTATGTGTGTTTTATTGGTGAAGGTGTATATTCTGGGTAGATCCCTAGAAGTAGGATTGGTGGGTCAAAAAGTAAATGCATACGTAGTTTTGTTAGACACGACCACATTTTCCTCCATGAATACTTAACCCTTTCGCATTCCCACCAGCACCGTACAAGCACTTGCTTCCCCATGGCCTCCCAAACAGAGGGCTGTCAAGCTTTGCTATTTCTGCCAATCAGACAGGAAGAGATGAATGTTGGAATGTAGGTTTTATGATTATTGAGGTGAGGCCAAGAGATGAGGAGACAGAGTTACTGAGAGCTCCCAAGAGGAAGGTGAGTAGCAGGGCGTGCCGCATGGGACTGCACGGAGGAGCAGCAGGGTCAGGAGGCAGAGACAGAGCCTTTATTGCATGGCAAGCCTGGCTAAGCAGGTTAGGGACTGCACATTTCCCTGGGCTCCGGGGTGGAGGGAGGGGCGGCCTAATTGTCTGCTCCCCAGCCTGGGGTTGATTAGGGCAGGTGGAGAGGGGCCCCGAGTGTGGGAGCTTGACACCCTGCCAGGTCTGCATTCTTCGGTTGTCTGGGCTTTATATCGTTCACTAGGCTTTTCTCACTGTTGGGGAAGTCTTCACAGGTCTCTCGCTTGAGGAGGAGAGAGCACGGGCGGCGGCTGTCTTTGTCGGGACTTTTTCAAGGACGTTCGTAGAGGGACCGATCTCGGAAGGTAGAGATAGCGTCTCTCTCCAAAGCAAAGGGCGGGTTTCTTTACTGCCCAGTATAATAAAGATAATGACTCCTTGGGGACAAAGGTCAGGCGGGCCTGCTGACCGCTCTAAAAGATTCTGGTTCCCTGAGGTTGGGGATCCTCCTTTGCAAGCTGTTTTATTATTATTATTATTTTAATTATTTGTGTATATTACTTTGAAAAAAAAGAAGAAACACTTTTAATGGCAGAGGAAGGTATCAAGGTAGAAGCTCCTCATGGAGCTTCTCCCCCCGGCCCGCCACACCTGTGTGCCATGGAGAAAACACAGTGGGGGGCTCCCGGGAACCCCAGAAGACCCAGGGCTATTGGGCCTCCAGTGGACCCGAACAGACCCGAGGCTGCCAGGGAGCGGGAGGCTGAAACCAAGCCCACCAATCCAGGGCCCCGAGGTCGGTGGCTCACTCCAGGACACGCCTGCTCCTGGGGGATAAGACTGCGGCCCCCACTAAGTAGTACTTGGCCCTTAGTAGGCCCTCATA